TTTGATACACCATTAAAAATAAACCTATGGGTCAGTGTAAGAGAGAAAGGATTCACTTTTTCATGAGTGCTAACATTTACTGCCCATCAGTCATGCCTAGAAAGAGATCTAACGGTTATATGATGGAGAATCTCCCACAGGGCCGCTACCACCCCAAAGGGAGATATTCAGTCAAAAGCCCAAAAGTTAGCGACACAAGTAGATAAAATATCCACAAAAATTCATCTGATCTGAAAGTTTTTCTCTTTAAACTTGGGGAATCAGGAACTTGGAGGGAGGGAACACCAAGTCAACTACAATCCAACCTTGATCCCTTGTCGAGTGGGTGAAGCGCTGACCACCCTCCACCCACACTCACTCTCACAGTCCCAGTCTAGTACCTGGGTTCTCTACCATGAAAGTTGCATGTTAGGACAAAAGATAGAAATAAATAAAAAACAGATAAATGTCATAATCATCCGCCGTTCACTTTCCTCCACCAGCTACGTCAACTGCTTCGAATTTTAAGATGAAGAAATACTGTTGAGCAAGGGAAATGGAAACTTACCCGACAGCTTCGTGGCCAAGAATTCTAGGAAAACAAGCAGGAGGCACCGTTAGTTTCCAAAAGGTGATATCACTGTGACAGAGAGAAGTGCAGATAATCCGAATCCGGACTTCATAGGCACCTGGAGGAGCCACCGTGATCTCCTCTATCACCAGCGGTTCGCCTGGTTGCCGACTGACGGCAGCTGCAACTCACCGTAAAGGAAACTTCAAGACAGGAAAATGCTCTGCCTAGAAAAAGAAGGAAACTTGGAAACTTGAGAAGAAAAAAAACGAAACACATTAGATTACCTCTGCATCGAATCGGTTTCCCTGCAGTTTTGCTCGAAAGCTTGTCGTTATCCATAGTCACAGGCGGTGACGGGGAGACAGAGTCCACTGCTGTCTTCCTGAAAATTTTCTGACTTGGAGCTTCGTGGAGTTGCTGTAGGGGGACAGCTAAGGCTTATATGATATAGGATGCACCGAGTCATTGAGAGAATTCATGGGAAATAAATAGGACATTAATTATATGATTTATTTTAATTTAGTTAAAAATATATATTTTTTAAATTATTTATAAGCTGTTAATTTTATTTTAGAATAATTTACTTGACAAATATTCTATTAATTAAATTAACAAATGTTGGTATGGACAAATTGACGTAAACAAGTTGCCTTTTAAATTTTAAAAGAATATTAAATGAGCAAAGCTAAAGGCACTCGCCTCCTGCACTCCCTGGGAACACACGCTTTTTTATTGGGCCACGTAAGCTTACATAGCTTTGAAATGCTCACCTCTCGAGAAACTAAAATACGTGGCCAATGAAAATGGAAGTGTTTGTGGGATAGTATAATTGGCGAGTGTTCCTAGCATTGCTTATATTAAATATAGTACATATATTTTTATTTTTTTGTAATATTTTGTTTTTAAAATTTAAATTTTATGTTAAATGTAATAATTAATTAAGATAATAAATTTAATTTACATTGATCAAAATTTTAATTTTAATTTATAATAATTAATATTATAATTTAAATTTTATTATTAAAAAAACTTGATACCATTATTAAATTACATATTTTTTACTAATTTATATAAAAAAATAAAAAAAAATTTAACGCTAATAATATGGGGCATAGATTTAATTTGGAGATTTATAAAATTAAAATAAATTTTCATTTTTTTAGGTAATTTTAATAAT